GATGCCCGATGGCTCATTATCTTCGATGGAAGGGCAAAGCCATAACTNTTCTACGTTCCCTGAGACTGATCCGCAGCTGGGCAAGGACAAGAATGGGGAAGACTTGCTGTATGAGAGCTTCACTTCAAAGCAGTGGCTACTGCGGACCATGCTTCGAACCAGGATCACCGGATTGCTTGGAAAAACAAAACCGGGGTGCTGCAACAGCGAGATCATCCCAGGTGTTGATCAGCAGACATGGGCCATGATCGAGACTGGTTTCAGTGGCGGTGGAATCCGACATTTCAGCGCACCCAGGAGCCAAAATTGTTACTTGAGTGACACTTACAGGCCAGCATTGCATCGGGTAGCAAGCAAATCGACTTTTTCAGCTATCAAGGTGGACCGGGCTCCTGGGTTTAAGCATGTGAGTCTATTCCTGGGCAACTACTGGAATGTGTTTTGCTCTCAGACCTTGCAGAGACAAGCTGCATCAATGTCCGAACAGAGCCATCCGTATGCTCCGCTCGAATGCGTGAGAGCTATTGTGGAGATGGTGTCAGCTGTTGGCGATGCAGATGAAGAACATCTCCAGGCTCTTGCACTGGAGTTGGGTCTTGAACCTGTTAAAGCGAAGTCTTGCAGACGTCCGAAGCTTCCGTCTTTGTGTCTGAAATACGATGCTGATGCGCGGATTCTATCACTAGCTACGCATTGGGTTGATTTGCCATTTGAACAACTGCAGTCGCTTGTGAAATCTTCTGCTGTTGGTTCTAGACGTACGCCTCCGGCCTCACCCTCGGGGAACAAACACCAGCCAAAGAAGGCGAAGCCATCTTCTGTGGATGTCCTCTACTCCCCCACGAAAACAGTCGCTGAGTTTTGGGCCCCCGTGATGCCGCCCCCCGACCTCCCTCGCGCGGCCCGCCGCGCGAAGCTCGCCAAGGCTAAGGTCGCTTCGTAGGTAGGACCTACTATAAGTGCCGGATGGGAAATTCGTCGCAAGTAACAAAAGATTCGTCGCATGAAATTCGCCTGAGTCCACGATGGAGCTGCTGGCAGCCTGATGAGCTGCTCATAGCTCGCTCAAAAATAATAATTAGATGGAGATAAAGACATCTGCCAGCAGAGCTCCTTCGCGCGCGCGCACCAGAACTCGTAGTTTGTTCTGTCGATACGATTAGGCGGAGAAAGTCGCGCGCGAAGTTGCCGCGGAGCTTCGGGACGTGCTCGCGAGCGTCGTGCATACCAGATTCGTGCGCTCCCAGCGTAAAACTTGCACCACTCGTAGCGGCGGTCGCGGCGGGGTAGTACGTCCATTGGCAAGATATGGACATGCGCACGGGCGGAGATCGACACAGAGGACGGGGCTGCCCGTCCATGCTCTCCTTAACTCGGGAGAGCTAACTCGAATACACGATTGCTAACTAAATTTGTGGATTTAGTTAGTTCATTTAGTTGGCCGATGGGGGGCACTCGAATGTAGAAAACCACCAAAAAGCCACAGAGTCGAATCGGAGCAAAAGCGTCTAAAGACCCAACCAGCCCCCTCCGCGGGCGTACCATTGGCGAAAAAAAGCCAACATATGCACTCTAAAATCTCCCGGCGATTCAACTTCTAGCTTAGCTCCTACGAAAATACTTTACGGATATCTAAGAGCTCGCCGTCGCGAGTCAAATCCCGCCGCATGTGCTGAAGCTTCCTCGTTTTTCTGTTCCTCGCTCCAGGCTTGCGCGGAATAAAGAGGGAGCGGATGCGCTGGCTAGCTTCATTTCTCCTGCGCAGCAAGCGAGCTTCATGGGCAGCATAGATTTCCTTGTCCATTCCCGTAGCATAGGCAATCTTGCGGCCGCACCACCGGGCAATATCCTCAGCTTGGGACACCATTACTTGGCCCCTCCCAGGTGACTGGCCTTTCACACCAAATTTGTGCGATTTGGTCTGTGTGATGACAATGGCATCATCGTTCGTCTGTTCCACAGCGTCGGCACTGTAGTAGATCAGATAGCCCCATTTTTTCATAAATCTGCTGAAATTACCACACTTCAAGCTGTGGCCATATGAGGTAAGGACCTTCTCTCCAACATGCTTACTCGCAAAATGCCACCACTGATCTGCGTGATACTGGAGGCGGTCAGCATCTTTTTCCAGCTCAGCTTGATAGCCCTCATCACCAGGCTTTTTCGTTGGTTTCATCCTCATAATTTCAATGCTCTTCTTCAAGTGAAACATCATCATTCTCAGGCTATTTATTACGGAATCATCACTGGAAATGCACTTTAAAATGTCAGTGTCCTGCCAGGCATCCAGCAGCTTCATACTGTCACTGTCACCGAAGGACTGCTTGATGATGTCAGTATTTGAAGACCCATCAAGCCATGCTGCTTTATACCATGAAATTGAAGTCTTTCTCCGAATCGCCTGGGACGCCATCAGCATCCGCTCCTCAGCTCGGGCGTCCTTGTGCACCAGAGGCCATGATAGGCAAATGTGATTTGCAGTTGGCATCATTCTTAATATGAGGTGGAGTGCATCTTCTGCCACCAGCTCTGGGTCTGGACCCCACATTGCAGACGTACCCCAAGGAAAAGTCAAGTAGACATCTGCCCGCCGAATCAAATCTGCAGCCTCTATGACATTTTGTAATAAATTTCTGGTTGGAAGTCCATCATATCCAAATAGCTCCAGCTGGTAACCAACCTCAACATCAGTGAGCTCGTTGACAAAACCGTCAGTATGACCATGAGCTGGCATGGTAATTTTACAGTGTCGTTGCAGGCATGCCCTTAGCTCCGCTTCTTTCATCTTGGACAGTGCCTTAGGCAGGAATATTTTCCTGTTAATGATCTCCCTCTGGAGATCTTCAACTACCACGCAAATTGGCATCACTAGCCGCATAAAATCATCATTCTCCAGTAGAGCAGCAGTGCTCGCAAATAGCTCATCCCTCTTGGTCTTCACCCTTGTGGGCGCCCACTTCCAATGATGACACTTTTCATTTCCGCAGCATCCACAGCCAAATGGCATTCCAATGGTACGTAAAACCAGCAGGACTGGCGTTTTTGGGTCGGCCCATTTGACGCTTGTTCCCAGTCCACCTCCCACACCATCATATCCCAGCCACTCTGCCTTCTTATCCGTCCCTATTGGCACTTGGAAGGGTACAACATGACCATCATAATCAAGGCCAACGTCAGAAAGATGGAGCAATTCACTCATGTGTCCCCCAAATGCACTCCGCATGTTAGTAGCATTCTCACAGTTCCATGTCCCTGCAAATGGGAAGCAGAATTTCCTTGATTGTGGGGTTTCAAAAATGGTCTTGTTGGTGCGGGGGTCTATTAACCGAAATGACATTAAAATTAAGCCGCGGTTCTTGGTCATTGGAGCTCCATCAAAGCACACCATCAAAACATAGACATGGTCACCTTGTCTAATCAGGTGGACTTTGAAGGCCCTGAACAACACAACCAGAAAATCCTTCACTGTCCCCACTGAAAACGTATCATCATTAACCGAAATGCATGAATATTGGATGTTCATCATCGATTTGACACCTTCATCCATGATCTTTCTCTCTCTGCTAATTGCACTTTTGGCAGGCAAAAAACATTCTGCTTTAGCCTCGAGCCCCAGGCACTCTCGAATGCCGCCCATTCCCGAATCGTTTACCGACCTATGGATGCAGTTGTGTGACCGATAGACCTCTGAAATTGCGGGAGACTCACCTAGGCTTGTCAGTCATGTGCCAGACCACCTGTCTTGGCTGCAGCTTCATTGCCTTCTGCATGGCCAGCAGCCGTTCTTGGGCATACAGACCGTTCCAAGCCTTCTGGAACAGCTCGTTGAGCAGCTTCTTTCTCTGCTCCCGCCCATAACCAGGTGTGCACGCAATCATTGCTTTCACCCACTTGATCAGATCCTCAGAGCACTGAGACTGGTCGATGAAATCGGTGCCGTCCTCGTCGCCATATTTCCCGGTCACACCATTCAACAATCGGCTGACATTTCTATTCTGGTTCTTCCTCTTCCTCTGCTCATCCTTCTTCTTCTTCTCTATCTTGTCCAGATTGTCCTGGAGCTGCTTGGCACGTGCCTCTGCCGCCGCCAATTGCTGCCGCAAAGTTGTCGCTTCCACTAGTTCCATTCGGGCATTCGCCATCCACATGCACAACCTCTCGTAGTGCCACCCCATGGCCTTGATCGCATGGTACCATTGTCCTGCCTCCGGGTTGCGGAACACGAGGGGCACGGGCAGGACCAGCGGGCCCCGCGGGACGGGCGCGCCCGCGGCAGCCGCAGCCATGAGACCAACGACCAACGGCCAGCGCGTTAACCGACCAACTGCCATGCGTTAACCGCCGCGGGCCTATGCAGTTGAACTTCAACAAAAAAAATAAGTCAGCACGCACGGTTTGGGTTGCGGCACATCATCGCCCGCATCGCGCAGCGATGAAATAACGTGATTCCCGGTACAATTTCAGGGCTGCGCTCGGCCAAGATATGCCAGGACCGCTCGGATACGGTGCCAAGTTTCGTAAGGATTGGTTCGTTAAGAGCTGCTATCCAGCAGGTGCACTGTCCGACGACTGTGCAACCTCGCTGAGCCTGGTGCTACCTGGCTCAGAGTCCACTGAAGAGTTTAGCTATCAATGCGTTCCTATTAAGTTTGCTATAGCCCGTAATACCATTCTCTTTACACATCTCTTTCAATTCTGGCACCGTGACAGGGCAAGCAGCTGTGTTGAGGTCCGAGGTTGAAGCGGCGGGATATGTAACACCTCCCTGGCATTACCCTGCAGCTAGGTCTGCCAGAGCGGCTGCCCTTTGCGCGGATTCCTCATCGTAATTACAGCCGTAAAGCCAAAAGTTAAATATTTTTAAGCCGAGCTCGACCATCAAACCGGATAGCGAGCCACTCGCCGGCAAAACCCGCAGAGTTAAATCTGTATCCATTTACGCCGCTTCAATGTCGCCCTGCGGCCTATCTGCAGGGCAACGCTCGTGCCACTATTTGGCGGAAGCCGATGGAATGTCCATCTTAGAGCGCCCCGCGCTCCGCAAATATGCAGCGACGTGCAACGATCCCAGTGGCTTTGAGGTCCGCAAACATGTGGACGAGGCACCTGCGAAGACGCGGCATCCAGACGATTGCGAGGCGACGCAAACGTGCAGCGTCAGGGGGTGGAATGGTGCGCGGCAGCTGCCCCCCGACCGAGTTTCGGTCGCCTTCGAGCCACAGAGCGTCGGGAATCGTTCGTCATGGGGGCGACCAGAA